GATGACCTAATGGGTTTAGCGGACAATGATAATCAAAAGTCCAAATTGAAGGAATGGGTATTTCATAAGGACGGCCTTTTGAACCTTCATGCGGCGGCAAGTTGCCGAATGGCCCCTCTGTTTAATATCTTTAAAAGAGATCACTGTAGGACTGGCTATTTAGAGAAACTAACCAATCTTGACCTAAGAAGGGCATTTACAGCCCTCAGATTCCATGCCATTCCTTCAATGGTCTGTGTTGGTCGTTTTATGGGTTTACCTGTTGCCTTAAGAATCTGTCAATGTGGTTTGGGCGAAGTGGATGATATTGAGCACTATTTACTGAGATGCTCATGGCACGAATCACTTAGGCAGAGATTTATATACCCTATTTTACCTTTGCACAATGGATTCTCAAAACAGGAGTTGGTTGTTTTTTTTGCTCTCTGATATGGATGTATATGTTACCAGCAGAATGTCCCTGTTTGCTTTGGCGGCAAAAAAGATAAGATTAAGCCTAGGATTCAGCGCAAGTTAGTGAAGGGATAACTTAATGTGATGTATAAGGGTTGTGTTTGTATTTATGTTTTGTTATGGCCAATGGCTAATACAATAAACTTGATGATGATGATGATGATGATGATGATGATGATGATGATGATGATAAATATCCATGGGTTTCATTCTCCACTGACTTGGGTTCCAGCTTTTGCAAGTTGTCCTGAGTCCTCTAAAGTCCCAGTTTTTGTTTATTTTTGCACCTGGGCCTTGTTAACCTCGAAAAAGAGGGGAATGAATTTGCTCAGGGGCTGAGGATCAAATGCTGGAAGATCTGGGAAGGCATCTCCCATGTACCTCTTTCATTGCTAAAAAGCCGCCGTTGTGGCCCCAGATTCTGATTAGGGGTTGTGTGTTTGTGTGTGTGTATAGGAGAGGGGCTAATTCTTCCCCCCTGCCTTTTTTGAACCTCAGCTGCCCCACCCAGTCTACTGGTTTCCCTCCTGTGGGAAGCATGTAGATGTGCTATGTGTTGCCCCCATGGGATATGCAGCAACTTGGGGAGGGGAGGAAGCTGAAAATCCAACCTGGGAGAAGGGTCAAGGCTCCCTCCCCATAAGGCCTGAATCCAGATCACTCCTCCCCTTTCCATTAGCAATAAATAATCCATGGTGGCGATCCCTTGGCAGAATTCTCAGTGTCTTGTCTAGTTTGACCATAAGCTGCTGAACTTCTGAATGGATTCAGCTGTTGGACAGATGCCAGGTTCATGCCAAGGGTCAGTGCTTGGGTGTGTTTGTGGAAGGTGTCTGCATCCTCTACTGAGGCCACGTCAGGAGGATCACTGTCCTGTTTTGTTTTGCTTCAGACATAACATTAAAATACATTAGGGTTTAGTGGGCAGGGGAAGGAGACAATATGTCACTATTTGATTCAAAGTTGATTGAACATTATTACACTACAGTGAGCAAGTCTGGGACTCCTTGTCTGGTCTGCAGGGACTGGCGAGCTGGCGAATGCTAAAGTGAGCTGTTCTCTCTCTGTGCTGACGATCCCTCTCCCCAGTAGTCCGACTGTTGTTCCTTTGCCCGTAGCACATGAATAATGCATCGTGGTGGTTCATGCCAGGGCTCGGCAGGAGGGGAAGGTGGTTGCTCTGGTGTGTATCAGGGCCCCCCACCGCCAGTGAGCGGTGTCAGTTTCTGAGGGTTTTTTTTCAAATTTAGAATCTGATGTCAGACATTTTCAGTCCCCTCATATTCATACTTACCCAGAAGTAAGTAATGGTGCAATCTAGAGTTGTAGAATTAGTCTCTCGCTTTGGCCTAGGCTGTCCATTAAAACTGACTAGTCATTGGTTTGAGATGAAGGAAGGGAAGTGTCTCCTCCTCCTCCTCCTCCTCCTTGAAACTGAGAGACTCTTTGCCACCAGATGATGTGATTTCCACAGGGTTTTAAACGATTAGGTAAAATCATGGATGGTACCAAGGAGCATTACAAGTTTCCAGGTTAGTCCAGCATCATAAGAACATAGGAGAAGCCAATGTTGGATCAGGCCAATGGCCCATCCAGTTCAACACTCTGTCACACAGTGACCAAAAATACCAGGTGCCATCAGGAGTGGGGCCAGAACACTAGAAGCTCTCCCAGAGAGGCCAACCAGATAGCTTGAGATGGACTCAAAGCGGGCAGGGTCTTTCCATGTTGTTGCCTCACCAGCAGTTGCAATTCAGATGTGCTCTGCCTCTGAACATGGAGGTTCCATTGAGCCATCATTACTAACACCTGGACCTCTCCTCTTCCACAACTTTGTCTCATCCCTTTCGTTATCGCTTACGGTAATTCTGTCAGTGTTATGAACAGGACCTCTATGGCAGCAGCAATCTTCTGATTGAGGGCTGCAGGAATAACAAAGGGTATTTGTATTCTTTTCCTGCTTGCGAACCCTCAATGACCATCTAGCTCGCTGGTACAGTGCCTGAGGTAGACCTTTTGGCCTAATTATCTGTCTTGTAACTACTGAAAACAGAGAAACAAGAAAATAAACTAAGACTGCATCATTGCACCAGGCACTGTAGGAGATCTGAAAAAGAGAAATCCATGCTAGTTTGTAAGAACATACCACAAAGTGTGTTCTTTCTGCTTTGCTTAATACACCTTGGTTCTAACTGATGGTGAGAAATACTGTTATAGTAGCCCTTGGTATTTATGCAGCATGTTTGAATGATCAGAATGATGCTTACGCACCACTGCTACAATTCTTACAACATCACTGCAAGGCAGGGCAGCATTATTGTCCCCACAATGCGTATGATGGTGACCAGAACTGGTAACAGAGTCTGACTGTCATCGGGATTAGCTGTTCAGGTCCTCCTTGGCTGCTTTTGATTTAGTGTTTCAGACTCTTGAACAAACTTGCTCCCAGCAACAATCTCTTGGCAGTGATTTGTTTATTGAGAGATGAAGATGTTTCAAGCTGAGACCGTTCGTGTCAGAACTGACTCCTTTGGCGCCACTTCTGCAATTATACATGATTCAAACAAGCCCCCCCCCCACCCCGTGACTGGTCCAATCAATCCATTCATTCAGCCTGCCTAAACCTAGTGCGCTCTGTTAGTCCTCCTCCCCCCACCTGTGAACCTACAATTACATTATCTACTACAAACTGGCTAGCGGAGACTGGCATTCAAGGCCGTTGTACATTCTTCCCATTGTCAGGAGGCCCACTTGGAAAGCAGTTGTAAATTAGTGTGGCAAAGCAGTCTTAAACACTCACGCACTCTCTCGCACAGTCTGCCCCCCCCCCCCATTCCCCAAAGTGAAAGAACAAAGCATCAAAGGCAGTGAAAACAGAACATGTGAAATCCATGGCAAATGAGGACCCGAGTTTGACAGTGTGTTGCCATTTTAATCATTTTCGGGTTTATGGGTTTATGGCTGATACTGATGATCCTCTTGGGGGGATTTTACACATGAATGCCCTGATCTGGATGGTCAAGGCTAGCCTGCTCGGCTCAGATCCTGGAAGCCAAGCAGGGTCAGTCCTGGTTAGTACATGGATGGAAGATGATGCCAGCCTCCAGGTGAGACGGGGGGATCCCCTGGAATTACATCTCATCTCCAGACTTCAGAGATCAGTTCCCCTGGAGAAAATGGATGCTTTGGATGGGGGACTCTGCGGCATTGTACACCCCAGAGATCCCAGTCCTCCCCAGGCTCCACCCCCAAATCTTGAGGAGTTTTCCAACCTGGATCTGGCAACCCCACCCATCCCCCGCCAGTGGTCAGAGGGGACCTGGCAACTCTAATGGGAAACCACCAAGGAAGCCCAGGGTTGCTGTGCAGAGGCAGGCAACTGCAGACCACCTCTATTCATCACTTGCCTTGGAAACCCTGCGGGCGCGCCATAAATCAGGTGCAACTTGATGGACCTTTCCACCACCATACCACGAATATGCCATTTACATGCATTCACCATTTTTATGAGATGCACCATTTATAAATAAGTCACCTAAAAATAACAAATGTGTTAACTTTAACAGGAAAATTAGGCATGAGGGAAGAACTGGTACAAAAAAGAGAGAGAGAGAAAAGTCTCGTGGATTTGTTTCTCACAAGGGACACTCTACATTCCGGTGGGGATATTAGAATGAAACCACATCGGCAGAGCGATAAGACTGAATTTTAATATCTGTCTGAGTATAATCAATAGCAACTCAGCCAAGGCTGCCCTGAGAGTGTATGGTAGGACGAAGATTTGAACCAGATAGGGTTGTCAACCTCCAGGTGGGGGCTGGCGATCTCCTGGAATTACAACTGATCTT